AATAATAATAATAATAATAATAATAATAATAATAATAATAATAATAATGATAATAATAATAATAATAATAATAATCCATTTATTCATGAACGAACGGGGTGTTACAGGGCAAGTTGCCCGCAACTATGAGCTGAAGATGGTACACTACAATCAGCTCCTATTGTTCCACGGTCTCCCCAATGAGGACCCACTATACTTTCTCTGGGAGTTTTACAACGTTCTCCAGACGTTTCATCTGCATGGGCTGACCGAGGATCAACTGAAAATGCGGTGCTTTCTAGAGACTCTGAAGGACCGGGCAAAGGCTTGGTTCATGACCCTAGACCCGGATTCCCTAACAAATTGGGTCGAAGTCTACTCAAAATTTGTCGGGAAGTACTATTCCCATCAGAAGACCCAAGACATCCGGTCCCAAATCGTCTCTTTCGCTCAGTTGCCAAACGAGCCTCTTCACGAGGCTTTGGAATGTTTCAAGGACCTTCAGGCAGTGCCCCCACCACAACCTTGCTCTTGGGCTATGGGCGAACTGTTTCTACGACTCCCTCCATCAGAACTTGCAATACATGGTGGACAACGCAGCCGAAGGGGATATTGGGGCTAAAACTGCCGAAGAGATGATTGCGATTTCGAGACGATGAGTGCTAACTTGTCTGAGAAGAGCATCAGAGGGAAGAGGCCCACAGTGAACGAGGTCGGACCGGGCAATAACGTCATGGCCCAGCAGTTAGCCGAGCTCACGGAGGAGATGCGGCTACTGAATGCTATAAGTTCCTCGTCGATTCAGACTATGGCAGTGAGTGCTTGTGGAGCATGCGGAGTACAGGGACACAGTTCTGAGGTGTTCCCTATGGCTATCTAGCCAAACTATGGGGGGAGGGGGGCAAGGAGCTGATCTGAACGCTATGCAAGGATATCAGAACAGGCCTAGGAATGACTATACTTGAACACATATAATCCCGGATGGAGAAACCACCCAAGCTCCTCTTGGTCGAACAACAACTTTCAGCAGCCACCTCAGCCCAACTTTGTCTCCCATCAGCAGCAACACATGGGACAAATGTTAAGGTTGCCAACACCAGAAACCGGACCAACCCCACCGAGCATGGACGACAATCTAGACAAGATTCTCAATTTTATCA